AGTTTGGCTTGCTGGAATTCTTCCAAATAATTAGAGGAATATGAACTGGACTATAGGGATGACCTATCCAAATTTTTTAAACTGTTGCCATATTGTGTATTTAGACATATAGATCACTCCTTCTGGCAGAAGTAAGTAGGGAATACTTGATTAAGGGGATGAAGGAAGCTGGGCAAACAGCCCTACCTGTTTCTGCTACACAATAAAAACTGTCCAGTAACTGGTAACAGACCCTCTTGACCTCCCTCTAGAATTTTTCAAAACTGGCTAAATATGTTAAGTTTTAAGAAAATTAAGAGAAAGCAAAGTTCTCCGTATGCAGACCTAAGAATGAGGACTTGCGTCTGATCACAAAACATATGAAGCAATGTGTCAGAATGGAGTTCAAATTTTTTTCTGTGCTGCTTAATGTTTATTGACAACTTGACTCCACCTAGAACCATCTAAGAAGAGCAAACTTCATTTAAGGAGCTGCCCAGGTTAGACTGGCCTATGGCGTGTCTATAGCAGATTGTGTTGACTGACAATCAATGTGGGAAGGCCGCTGTGGGCAGCGCCATGCTGAAGCAGGAGGGTCTGGGCTGCCTAAGAAAGTTAATGGAGCTTGAGCATGAGCCAGGAAGTGATCAGCCTTCTGTAACTTATCCTGTGGTCCCTGCATGGGTTTCTGCTCTCACTTCCCTCAGTGATGAACTATGACTGAAAGTATAAGCCTCCCCTGTGATGTTTTGGTTGTGTTTTGCTTTACCACAGCAAAGGAAAGCAAATGGTGACAAATATTTTCTTCACCTACTTAAAAAAAAATTAACAGAACGATGGTGATAATGATATTTGTATAGGAAGATTTTGGGTTTAAGCATCGGTTACAAGTCAGGCATTTACATGAAGGGAACTAAGACTATACAGAAACCTTGAACTGGAAGAAGAAATGGGGAGCATGCTGTTAGAGACCAGGGCCATTACTTTCCAGCTAGAAATATTCCAGTGGGTATACAGACCAATATTGTCAGAATAAAACCAGAATCCAACAAAAGCTAGGCTATTGACTAACAAAATTATGTATTTCAGGCCAAGAAAGCAGAAGACCAAGCCTGGATTTACTCTATCTTCTTATTACAGCTCAAGAATTACATAGTAACTCCTTAGCTTGGGTTTTGTTTACAGAGAGCAAGAATCCAGGACTTCCAGATTTCCTCCTGCAAGAAAGCAAGTGTAATAGCTCTGAATACTTTTTAAAACTCTTTTAAAATGTATTGGAACACTAACAAACTAATAAGCCATGACCAAGGCAAATGCCAAAGAAAAACTAGGAACCCAGACAGATACGAACTGCAAAACCCTCCTCTCCTCCCCTCCCCTTCCATCCAATCCCCTTCCTTTCTGTTATTCCATTGGCTCACTTTAAGAGCTAACCACGCCCACCCCAGCTACTTCTGACCCCAGCTACTTCTGACCCGCCGCCATCTTCTCTCTCTTGTGTGTTTTGTCTCGTGTCATGTGTACATGTGTCTTTGTTCTCTCTACGTTTTTTCTATGTCTCTCTGTTTTCCTCTTCTTTAAGCAATAAATGTCTCCCTCTTCTTTAAATAATACTATGTCCTGTGAGCCTTTTATCCGCCGTAACCGCCCGCCTGACTCCCCCCGGCCGCATGGCGCTGCCACCCTGGAGATTTTGCAGGGACCCACAGCCACTAGCAGCTGCTCTGCGAGCTGCCCAGGACATCCCAGCATCACATTATTTTTAAAAGAACAATACTTTCCTTTTCCCTCCCCTCCCCTTTTCTTCTCCTCTTTTCTTTTTTCTTTTCTTTGGTAGACCCTTCCTTCCTTCCTTCCTTCCTTCCTTCCTCCCTCCCTCCCTCCCTCCCTCCCTCCCTCCCTCCCTCCCTCCCTTCCTTCCTTCCTTCCTTCCTTCCTATGATAGGCTTTATTTGTGGCCTCACTGCATGGGGGGTGGGGGGAAGGGCTTGCTGTGGGAACAGTAGCCCAGGCTAGCCTTGAACTTGCCACACTCTTCCTGCTTCAGCTGGCTACTTCCTTTTCTATCAAGGGCCTTGAGAAGGAAAGAGGTGGGGCTAAAGCCAAGACCTTTTCCAGACAAGATGTCTGATAAGAGGCTTTCTTGTTCCACCAGTTCTAGACAGCTGAATTGTGCCTTCCGGGCAAGAGGGAATTAGAAACAAATTGGCCTATCCAGATCTTCAGACCAGATCCATTTTGTCCAGTGAGTCACGGAACACCCGAAGCAAAATTTGCTTGAGTTAGTCCTGAGTAGGAAGCACACAGCTGCCAGGCAAAACAAAGATGAATTCTTCTGGAGGCAGGAGGTTTCATCACAGTCCTCCAATTATTTCAACAAACAATTTTTCAAAGACTGTAACACTTTACAAAGTTTATAGCAAGTTTTAAAAATGAAACACATGATGCAGGTTTAGTCATTGAGATGTTTCATTTTTTTTCCTATTACGAAGTTTCAATCGTGATTTCATAAATGGGCTATTTTATCAACATGAAACTGTGTCTATAGAATCAATTTCACAAGTTGAATTGCTTAGTCCAAGAAATATTCCCTGAAATTGTTCATGCAGAAAACAGAGTGTGGTGGCACATGCCTGTAATCCAGCCCTCAGTGATGTTTGAATTCGCTACACAGCGAGACCCTGTCTCTGAAAAAGTAAATAAAAGGAGATAGTTTGTAGACAACTGTTAACTTCTAACCATACTTAAATATAACTTCTTTCAGAAATTGTTTCTTTTGTTTTGAGACAGGGTCTGTCTCTCTATGTAGCCTGGGCTGTTCTGAAACTTGCTTATGTGGACCAGAATGCCTGCAAACCTCCAGAGATCTGACTGCCTCTGGGACTAAAAGTGTAAGCCCCCAATCCTGGCCCTTCCTTCAGAAAATTTTATCCACACCTCCCCCAATGCTGTAAGAATGTTTTTTTTATACAAGAAGAAAGGAAAAAGAAAAGAAAAAGAAAAAACAAACCAATTTGCTCAGGGCATACAAAGGTACTTTTAAAATGGTTTGCCATGAGGTATAGTATCAACTCCCCTATTTTCTACAACAGTATCACTTCCTAGTTGAAACAGGAATCTATTTCTACTTTACTTTAGACACAACTGATCTACACGCCTGCCTTGAAGCAGGCCATGGCCTCTCAATCCTGGGTCAAAGTCAGACTGCAGTGCCCATTGGTCCTGTGGTGGCACCCAGAACTCAAGGTCTTCCTGCAAGTTCCCCGCTGGAGATGCTTTCCCACATTAAGCAAAACACACTCCACCGGCTGTCAGTTTCTTTATTTCATCACATAGCTTCATGAAGTTTATTTTCTCTTTACGGCTGAGGGTCTTAAACACTGATGGCTTGGCTTCTAAAGCCAAAACTACCTGCCTTCACTAGTTAGTTCCAGGACAGGCTCCAAAGCTACAAATAAACCCTGTCTCAACTGCCCCCCTCCAAAATAATAAATAATAAAACAAAAGATTCAGAATCTCTAAAGTACTGTAAGACAAATCATTCAGAGAAACGTTCCAAAGGGGAAACAGTAACCTGGTTTTTTTTTTTTTGTTTTTTCTTTAAACCACGCTTATTTGTCTTGTACTTGAGCATGCCTGCTTCATTGGCTTCGCCTGATCTGGAAGGGAATGAAGTAGCCGGCGTGGACTGGCGTTTGCACTGTACCTGGCCCCTTCTGGCCCCTTCGAGGTCACTGTGGAGGTGGAGAGATCCCTCCAGGGTTCCCAGATCATGGCAGGAAAAGTTCCAGAATTCCGCTTTCTCGCTGCACCTGCGAGTTGACCCTCCCTCCCCAGCCCTCCGGTAGTTAATGCTAGCCTTTCCCTGCTTGCCCGGGGGCTATTCCTGGGTGTGAGAGTTGAGTCTCAGCCAGCCGGAGACAGATTTTTCCACTGTGACTCTGCCCGGACGCTTGACAGGGAAAATACTGTGAAACTCCTCCTCCGGTAGAAGTGGGGAGGGAGCGCCCTACAGTTGGGGAGATGTGTTGGGACAAGATGCGAAAGTCCTTTGCACAACAACAACGACGTCATTTGTGATCTCTCTCCAGGAGATCTCGGAGTTTCACTGTGTAGCCCAGGTTGGCCTGGAACGCATGCTTCTCCTGTCTCGGGATTCAAGAGGACTGGAGTATAGCGAGTATAGATTTGTGGTACCTTGACCCGCTTATCGTACATTTAAAAAAAAACAGGTTTACCTCATGCAGATAAGATTTTAAAAAATGTAGCAGCCATGATCTGATGAGTCTGGGTAGCAGTGCAGTGCTATTCCCCGCTCTGGTGGCGCATTGCATTCTGGGGTTTGGAACGGTGCTAGCTGGCAATCTCTCCCCGGGTCACTGTCAGGGAACCCAGCTCAGGTAGGATTCCCGCTGTCCTCCACAGTCAGCCGGCAAGGGAGGCGTGAGATAAGGGGTCTGCTAGATTACTTAAGCAAAGAATCTGGATTCACTTAGCTAACTGTAGTCAAGTAGTGACCAAGGGCCAAGTGTGCAAACCCAGGCTCCCTGGAATTCCCGTCCACCATCTTAAGCACGCCTCAAGACAAGGCTTTTGTTTGATAAATCTTGATTCTGAGATTTTGTCTATGGTAGAAGGTATACGAAACAAAGTATCAGAAATAATGTTGTCTGTGATTCAGTGAAATTGTTAGAACTTCTAGTCTGGTGTTTTATGTGAGGATTCCTTAGTCCCTGGCACAGTGCCCTAATAATAAATGTTGACGAAATGAGCGGATAAAAACTAATTTTAGTTGAGAGTCTACAAACTTGTAGGAAATTTTAGAAGAGTCAACAACCCCTTTGAACTTTCTAATTTCGCTAAATGTTATTACGTTGACAGAACCAGGTAGAGTGCTCACAAGAAACGGAGCTTATTTAAACACACTTTTTGTAAAATGATATAGAAATGGAAGCAGAAACGGGTTTTGGGGACAGTGGAAGGCAAGTCTATGTTTAAAACAAAACCAGATGACATTTTAAAAGCATCATTTCCTTTTATTTCCTTGTAAAGCAAGGTGGCCTCTAACTGCTCGCGCCCAGCCTCCCACACGCTAGAATCACAGGCGCAAATCGGGACCAGCCAAGCGCCATTCTTTTTCCAGAGGTGGATCCAAGGAAGAGAACTGGGCGGGCAGGTGAGGGACTTAGCCAGACTTTAGGGGTGGTCTGCAGAGACGAAAAGAGAGAAAACGCGTTTCAGAAAACAGCTCTGTAGGCTCCGGTCCTGCCCCACCTCGGCAGTGCCCCCGGCTGGGTGCAGCATCCCTCTCCCCCTCCGCCCCGCCCCCGCTAGGCTCTCTCGGTGGCTCCCGCCAACCTCAGACTCCCGCCAGTCCCAGCTTTTCCCACCCGTTCTAAGCCGTGTGAGTTGTCCTGGGCCTAGCAGTCTCTTCTGCTGCGGAAGAAAAACTTGGTGGCGAAACCTACCCGGCCTGCGGCAGCGGGAAAGAGTCGCCTCCCGGCCTCTCCCCCGGAGGCGGCGACTCCGGTTCTCGAAGGCAGAGGATTCCCGCAGTGTCTGCTTCCATCTGCCTCCCCCTCTCCCCGCAAACCTATTAATGACTTCTTATCACAAAATGGACCCTCCTTCTTTTAAAGTCTTCACGGCTCCCACCGGACCAGCCAGCGCTCCCTAGTTCCCCTCCCCTCTGCGACTGCTCCCTTGGCAGCCTTTGCACCTGCGACCCTCGCTCCGGCGTTCTTGGAGCAGCTTCTTTAACTACTTTTTTCTCCTGGCCACACTTCGGTGCTCCGGTTTGCAAGCCTACTACTGAAAACAGGTTTCCTCCCATAAGCTGAATCACGGAACAAGGACCCGCCTGCCCAGAACCTCTCCTGGCTGGCAACTTGGATTCCGAGTCTGCAGTTAACACTCCCACTTCCAGAGGGCCAGAGCGAGACTCTTCCGCGCCATTGTTCCAGTATATATTCAAGTAACTTCTACGTCATATTTACTCTAAACATTTATATTATTTTGGTGTATTGCTTTATATATCTTATTTTAATTAAAATATTTTCTTTTTAGACAAAAAACGACTTTAAACATGAAGTTTCATGTGTGGGGGATCCAAGAAAAGAAAGCCTTTGTGGTTGCTGAAGGCTTTGAAAGGGAGAAGAGGCTTATACTGATTTGTGGTTTAGCCGAGTCTCCAAGAAGTAGAGAGCTTAACTTTTATTTTAAATTATGTCTGCTGTGTTTGTGCGCGCGGGCTCGTTGCTCTTGGTCACCGAGGCCCGAGGAATCGAATCCGCTGGAGCTAAAATTCCAGGCTGTTGTAAATTGTCTAAAGTGGGTACTGTACTGGGTATCGAATTCTGCCTCGGGAAGAGCAGTGCGCTCTTACCAGCTGAGTCTCCAGCAAGAAATGGAAAGGTTGTAAAGACAGGAAAGAAAGGAGTCTCTTTTCCTTAGAAGGGGAGACTGCAACGCCCTCGCGGGGCAGAGGGAGGGCTAGAAATTTTTCCACTGAGAAGGTAAAGGGCCAAGGTTGACAAAGTTGCAGGCTGAAGGACAGGGCCTAGGAGTTTGAAACCGTGGAATCAGTCCACCAGGCAGGTTTGCGAAGCAGCAAAACCGAGGCTCGGTAAAGTGGCAGTGAGGTCCTGCTGCTGCTCCGGTGCAGAACCGAACCCTAGACCTCTGGCCCTCCTGTCTTCCGCCTAGGCCTTGACTAGGGGTAAGTGGATGGGTACAGCTGGGATTTATGGGACAGCGTTCATGTTCTCAGGTTTCTTTGGGTTCCATCTTCTTAGGTTGTCCCACAACTTGGCTGGGTGAGCTGATGGCAACCAGCAGACCCTGCTCAACGTTTCCATCTGTAAACGAATTTCAGATACGCTCAGATTTGAAACTCTTGGACCAGCTATGCTCACCTGGGGGTGCTTGAGCCGAAAGCTCAAGAGCTGCAAGCAGATGAGCTACAAGCAGATAGCGCACGACCTGGAAATGACCCTGTTCCAGGGCCAGGGCTATCGGCAGGCGACCCCAGGCGTCAGGCACATCCAGCTGCGCTCCCGCCTGGTGCAGTACTACCAGAGTATCCAAGAAGCCCTCCCGCGCTGCATCGTGCACCGGTCGGGAGAGGGTGGTTGGATCCTCGCAGTTCGGATCCGCACCGTAAAGCAGCAGCAAGCGGGCTACTTGGGTGTTGCTCATCCTCATCACCTGAAAAAGTCAGAAGAAAGAGTAGAGGGGTCAAGGCCAGAGTGCGGTAGGGAGGGAGAAAGAAGCCCAATTTAAGAAGCCTCATCACTAAATCAAACTATCCGGTGCAGACAACCAGTCACGAGGTTCTACCCTTTAAGGGCTTCTTGTATCAACTTGCTGCTCCCATCCCGCCCATTCCATTCCTTTTACACACACAGGTTAATAGGGTATTTCTCATGCTTTCATGGTGCTCAAACCCTTGTAGAACATCACTAGGGGCAAAGATACTGCACTTTCTTCTTTTGAGCAGGACAGTGGTAGAGCAAGTCTTTAATCTCAGCACTCAGGAGGTAGAGGCAGGCCGATCTCTGTGACTTGGAGGCCAGCCTGGTCTACAAAAGCTAGCTAGTTCCAGGACATGCTCCAAGGCTACAAAAAAAGCCTGTCTCGAAAAACAAACAAACAAACAAAAAAGATGATCTATGATTGTATGGTAATTGCTAAGTGATTGACAAAAGAGACAACTAGAGGGGCTGGAGAGATGACTCAGCGGTTAAGAGCATCGCCTGCTCTTCCTAAGGTCCTGAGTTCAATTCCCGGCAACCACATAGCCTCTCACAACCATCTGTAGTGGGATCTGATGCTCTCTCGTGGCATAAAGTCAACAGAGTTCTTATATACATAAAATAAATATATAAACCTTAGAAAAAAAAGACAACCAGAATTCTCCCAAAATTTGTTAACCTTTTCTTCCTGGAATGTTATACTTGTATTCCTTGAAGTCTAAAATCAGAAAGTCTAAAATGTCCCTAAAATATTAATGTTCCCTTCCCATTATAAGTTATTTATCCTCTAAACTGGGAACATGTTATAGAGAGAAGAGATTTTGTAGACGTAGCTATACTAAGGACCTTGAAATACACTATTCTGGACTACCAGAGTAGGCTCAATGTTAATACAAATATCCTGCCAAAGGGAACATGGAAGCAGGGATGCAGAGGTCAAAGAAAAGATGCAGGAGTCCTGGGCTAATAGCCACTAAAGTTAGGGGAAAAGAAAACAGATTCTGACTTATAGCCTCCATTTTAGACTTTCAGCTCCTTTACTTTCATAATGGTAATGCTGTGTTTCTCTTAGTCTTGTTAAATGTGTGTAACTGGCTCCATTGGTGGAATGTTTGCCTAGTGTTTTAGTTTGCTTTCTATTGCTCTGATGAAGATCATGACCAAAAGTATGTTGGTGAAGGCTGGAGAGATGGCTTAGGGGTTACAAGCACTGACTCCTCTTCCAGAGAACATGGGTTCAATTCCCAGCACCCACAGGGCAGTTCCCAACTGTCTGTAACTCCAGTTCCAGTGGATCCAACACCCATGGTAAAACAGCAATTTTTAGAAAATAGAATTTTTTTTAAAAAGTATCTTGGGGAAGAAAGGGTATCACAGTTCATCACTGAGGGAAGCCAACATAGAAACCTGTCCAGAAATCTGCAGGGAGGAACTGAAGCAGAGACCATGAAGGAATGCTCTCAATGGCTTGCCCAGCCTGCTTTTTTATGCAACCCAGACCACCTCCCCAGGTATGGCACTGTCCACACTAGGCTGGATCCTCTCACAGCAGAAATCAAGAAAATGCCCCCCACAACTTGCCTACAGGCCAATCTTCTTAATTAAGGTATCTTCTTTTTAAATTACTCGTTTGTCATGTTGACCATAAAGGCAACTATTTAAGACCTTACATGTGAAGTGTTGGCTCAAACTCCAACACCACATAAATCCTGCATACCTGTATTCTCAGCACTCAGAGGGTACAGGAAGGGAGTCAGAACTTTAGCCTACATATCAAGTTGGAAGCCAGTCTCTGAGAGCTGTCGATTTTTTTTTTTTTCGAACTAAAGGAAAGAAGGTAGGGAAGAACTGGGAGGGGAAGAACTGGTACATGAGGGGAAAATCTATTTCCAATAAAAGAAAAAAACATAATTTGTTAGACTAGTAATAAAACAAAACACTTCTCAAGTTTAAGATCTGAAAGCCTAGCTTTGGACTGTTAGTCCTGGTACAAGCCCCTTCCCAAGAAACCATGATTACAGGCCTGCTCTTGCTTACTAAACTGTCTTGGAAATAAAACCAATCCTAAACTAGGTGGCACACACCTTTAATCCTTGGTGTGCACACCAAGCAAGGGCTCTGACCTTTAGTTCCCTCCGTCCACCAGAGAGGAATTTTGAAATGGAATCCACAATCACCAGAAAAGCAAATGAGTATTTTGTGATACATTCTGGGGGACCCCACACCTTCTTCAGGCCTCGGGTGAGCATCAGGCATGCATGTGGTGCAGATATACATTCAGGCAAAACACCTATATACAAAACCCAGCTAGAAAGGCAACTTTTAAAAGCTCTTTAGCGTAAGCAGGATGGCTCAGTGGGTAAAATGCTTCTCTGTCAAGCCTGACCTTCCATTTTCCAGACTCATATGGTGGAAAGAGAAAACCACTTCCTACAAGTTGTTCTCTGTCCTACACACAGGCCCCCTCTCTCAACTAAATAAATAAATCAGAGCAATAAAAGATTTAAAGCGCTGTAAAGTTAACTGGAAAATAAACTAGGCAGAAATTGCTTTAGAGCAAAGGAGAAAGCCCCCAAACACTATTTTTTTATTTTTTATTTTTTTAACAGAGAACCTACAGTTCAATTTTATTTAGGGTAAAGAATAAAGAGACTTGCTCCCACTAGAATGAACTTGGCCATAGGTTTAGAATTTGCCCTCAGGAAGTTAAGGACAGTGCCAGGCTAATAATGTAATGGATGTGCTGTTGCATTTGCCTGCTGTGTGTCTAATAACAATCATAAACTGAGCACGGGCAACCAGCCTTGGGAGCAAGTCTTACTCCTAGTGCTACAAAGGCAGGCACAGGTCCCTTCTCCCCACACCCCTACTTCTGTTTACCCACCTGCTGCCTCCTCTACAAGAGGCTGCTTCAGCTGCCACCTCCTCCTTTTCCGTTGAAAGTTTTACTAGCCTCAAGACTCTTTCTGAGAATCATATTAGCAACAGTCTTGAATGCAACATTACAAAAAAAAAGCAAAAAACAAAAAACAAAAAAGCAAAATAAAAAAAAAAACCAAACCACCAACCAAACAACCTATCAAACAAAAAAACTGGCTATCCAAGAAGTTCACCGCCGAAATAAGCTCTTCAGAGTGAATCTTCAAGGATTTTTGCCTCCCTAATCAGGTTTCTGCTCTGTGCTCTTGCATCTCCTGGAAAGCGGGTCATCCTTTTAGATTCACCATTGACTGACGTGTGTGTGTGTGTGTGTGTGTGTGTGTGTGTGTGTGTGTAACCGGCACTAACATTTGGTAAAGGGACTGGGTTTTGATGGCCACAGATAGTTTTGCAACTTCAGAACCACCACGTGGCAGGACTGGCTGCTGCTGGGAGCCAAAGAGAAAGAAGGCAGGAGACAAAGCCCCCCAGAGTTCTGTGAGGTTTTAAACGTGAAGCACTCAACTTGTCTCAATCAAGATAGCATAAGTAGTTGCTATTAGTATTGTTGTGTCTTCCCCTGAAGAAAGTGGAACTAATTTAGTTTCCAGGAAAGCTGTAAGCGAACTACAGAAAGAAGAAAGAAAAAAAAAATACTGTGTGCTTTATGTGATTGTTAAAGTCCTCAATAATTGCTTATAAATTTGGGTTTAAAGATTGCTCACATCTTCTATGGTACGGAAAAAGTTCAAAAATGCGAAAATAAGTGAGTACCTAAACCCTCTGAAGAAAGTACCTTGAACTGTGTCCCTGATCTTTTCTTTTCTTTTCCTTTCTTTCTTTCTTTCTTTCTTTCTTTCTTTCTTTCTTTCTTTTTTTCTTTTTTGCGGGGGTTTTTCTTTTTCTGTTTTATTTTGTTTGTTTGAGATAGGGTTTCTCTGTGTAGTCTCCTGACTGTCCTAGAACTCGATCTGTAAACCAGCCTCTGCCTCCTGAGTGCTGAAATTAAGGGCATGGGACACCAGCACCCGGCTTATTTTCTTTTTTTCTTTTTAGAAACTAAGGATTTCTGTCTCAAACAACAAGTTGGTTAAGGTTTTGAACCAAAACGATTTCCTCTTTTCCCCTTATTAAATGGCTGTTAAAACAATCGACCTTACTTTTTTTTTTTTAAAGTTTTCTGTATTCTGTAAATGAGGTCTTCTCTTACATATTTTAGGACTCAAAAGGCAAACTCCCCAGACACTGGTAATGCTTCAGATGTTAAACTGTAAACCATAGACAGATTTTTAAAAAGGCTTACACCTATTTTGTACAACCACGCATACAGTCTAGCCTCACAATGTCTCCACGCTCGACTTGTACAAGATCTCAAGGTTCCAAAGACTTATTTTATTACGTGGTTTAAAGTGTGCAAAATGTATTCTGTGTTGCATAGTTGCAACTGGTGTTACTTTCCTTTACCTTGCTATGCACAGGCTTTTAAGAGTGCTTATTTTTTCCCTGGGAATTTTCTTTGTGAGAATTAGAAAGAATGGTTATGGATGGATATTACTAGCGGGTGACAGAAAGAATTCCCTTCTAGGTTGAAGTAAATTGATGAAAGCAAAACCAGAAATAATCTACTGACAATGGATGAAAACAAATAATAATTCTCAGTCACGAGAATTGGAAACCTTGATGCCAAAATGGTACACTATGCTAAGTTAGTTTAAGGGGGGGCAGAAAAATATTAGGGTATGTACTCTAAATGGTAACTGAACGGCCATATCAGTCAGGGTCACCCAGAAAACTCCCCAGAGATGTTGGCTTTTCTCGTATGAAAGTTACCATCCCACTGCAGATGAGACACCCTGTGCCTACCTGAATCGGAGTGCGACCGAAACAGTTCGGAACGTTGGGCAAAGCCCCTGCTTCCAGCAGAGCCCGAACCTCGTGCTCGCGGCCCTGAGCCGCCGCCCTAGCCAGGCAGTCTGCCAAGTTCATCGCGGCTCCAAATCGCGACTCTCTCTCGGAGATTCAGTGCCTAGCCCGCCTTCGCCTTCGTGTGACCAGCCGGGCCCTCCTTCCTTCCTTTAAGGTTGGTGGGGGACGAGCCTCTCCCTGTGCCTGACGTGGCTCCACAGTCTGCTATTGGAGGCGCAATTCGCCCTGAACTCACCCCCCTCCGATTAGAACATCTCTGAAACCATCGCCGACCCCCCCCCCTCCGCGCCCCCATCACCGCATCCCCCACCCAGCCCGGATGTGGAGGGAACGGTATTCTGTACTCCTGCAAAAGAGATGCCGGATCTCTGCAGTGAGCTGGAGGCTGCTGCAGCGCTAGAGGATGGGTTGGGGGCACCTGCTGCCCGCGCTGACCACCCCACCCCCATGCCCAGACACCCGTTGACGCTAAGCTCCTTCCTGGCGCGCAAAAGAGGAGCACGTGGGGCTCCTGAGCTGGTGAGCTAGTCCATTCTCCACCAGAGTGAAATCTCTCCCGTTTCCTTCCTCCCCAGTGCAATACTCGGGTTTTAGAAAAAAAATGAAGGCGGGTGTTTTTCACCGCCAAACTGAAACTTAAGGTATTCACTTCATAGGCAAAGATTATGGCCTCGTTTCTTCAGAAGAAAGAGCTACGTTCTCGTCGCTCTGAAATGCCAGCAATCCTAGCTCAAACAACTAATTTTGCAGCTTTTCCTGCCTGCCCGGGGTCTCTGACCCACGCGCCCCGTGAAACCCGCCTCTTGGCGAGGGATCTCAGAAACAGTTCTGATGTTATGGTATTGGATGCTAGCTCTTAAAAGTGTGAGTTCTTTTTAACAACAGCCAGAGAAAGATTCTGTACGCAAATACAAAAGTAAGGGAGTGAAGGAAGTCACCGGAGAACAATCTGCTTGCTCATGATTGATGCCTATTTTATGGGGCTGTTGTGCTTTTAAATGACTTGATATGCTTATAAACGTTAAGAACTACAGCAATTCGATTGCACGACTAATTCATTTTTAATGAATATTAGGTAAAACAGAGGATTAAGAAAAACAATCATCACTGAAAACACGGTGCATCTAATACAAGGAAGTTAAACAGCAACTAAAGAGCAAGCAGAGGGTTGCTTTGAGCATATCAAGACCTCAAGACCGTGTTCAGCCACCATAAAGCTTCCCCACTGCAGTAGATGGGGAGAAATAGAGAGACCCACAGCCAAATACTGGGCACAGTGAGAGACCTGGAACACTCGGACTTAAATGGAGTGTCTCCATCAAGTCTGTCCCCTCAGAGTCCAGGGAATCCTGCAGAAAAGGAGGCAGATGAGTGTAACAGGGGATGGAGGACACCAAGAAAACAGGGCCGTCTAAATCCACACGATCAACGCTCATAAGAACTCACATGGACTTGGGTATCATGCGCAAGCTCTCCACAGTTCTGCACAGGTCTTTGCTGATATCATGGCTTCCTGTTGAGTGTTTTTATGAAATTCCTGAGTGTGAGAATAAGTGGGTCTCTGATTCTTATGCCTTCTCTTGGATTCTTTCTGCTGGCTTATCTTGTCCAACTTCTATGTGTTTTATCTTATTATATTTTATTTTGTTATACTTTAAAAATGAATGAATAAATGAAAATTTAGTTTTTACAATGTAATGACACTCTGAGTATATCAACCACTCTTAGGTAGCTCTCATGTTCAGGAGTAGTTGACCAAGATATAATGGATTCCACAGGTTTTTGTTTGTTTGTTGTGTGTGTGTGCATGCACATGCGTGGTTTTACTTGGTTAATTTTGGGGGGTGGTGTTTTTTTTCTTTTTTCTTTTTGTTGTTTGTTTTGTTTTTCAAGATAGGATTTCTCTGAGTAACAGCTCTAGATATCCTGGAACTTCTGTAGACCAGGCTGGCCTTGGGATCACAGAGATCTGCCTACCTCTGCCTCCCGAATGTGGGGATTAAAGGTGAGCACTACCATCGCCCAGCTGTATTTTTCTTAAATAAAGAACTTAAAGTTGGGTAAGTAGTGAGGGGGAAGAGGATCTGGAAGGACTTGAGGGAGGGGCAGAATATGATCAGTATATATTTAAATTAAATTTTTTTAAATAATAAAAATATAACAAAACAGAAAATATCAACAATGGGTTTCAGGTAAGTATACACTAGTGAAGGCATTTGCAGTAGAAATCGTCCAAGATGATGGAATCTGTGTGTGGCTCCTTTGCTCTGAAAGTTGGTCCTGCTACTATAAATAAATAATAAATAAATAACAGTGGTACAAACCCTTTTTTAACTTAAAGCAAAACAAAACTACCACACTCAAAATTTTTTCATCCATCTCAGCTTGGACCTGATGCCAACACTCCACATGGAGTAAAATATAAAATCCAGTATCCTGGTTAAAGTAGAGAAGTACGGGATAGGTTAAAGGAATGGGCTCTGGAGTTAGACCTTGTGGGTTCAAACCTGGACTTTTCTGTGTTTTCAGATGGAGGAGGTGACTCCAGGTGGAGGTGAGAACATGTGTAAAGGTGCAGATGTGTAGGAAAACATCACTAAGATTTATTGGGCAGCCGGGAAAACGAAATAGGAACAAACTTCTGGAAGAGAAGTCTGCAAAGAGAGCTGTAAAGAAGTCAGATGGCAAGCAGGAGACAGTGGGATGGACAGCACCGGTACACCTTTCCAGCTTTGCTGTGATTGGTCAGTCTCAGGGATGCAGGTGACACCCGGACTGCAAGGAAAACTGAAGTGAGAGAGGAGGGATTAAAATTTCTCTTCTCGAGGAGACATAACCCACCCTCTCCTCCTAGGATCCAGTGACAAGCCCTGAGATTCCACCAAGCTCACTGTGGGGAGCCGATGAGTTTATTAGAATTACATACTGAACAATAGGTCAGGGTGATGAGCAGGAAACTGGGTATAAAGCAGCCATCAGTGGAAGGGAGGTCTGGACCCAGCATGAAGAATAACTCCTCTGTGGTTTTGTAGAAGGCTCTGTAGTCCTTCCTCACCATTAACAATCTAGCCCTTCGTCAGAGACCCAGAAGGCGGCGGCCGGCATGCAATAAGGGCAGAATCGAATGCAACTGGTTGGGGATTGTGGCTGTATATTCAGATCAAAGTTTCTTTCTCATCTGAAATACTGTTATCTCTCACTCAGATGTGACACCACCTAGCCCTTACAATTCAGTGACACTACTCCCTGAGAGAGTGACCTTACTCGCTGAGAAACATATTTCTTGTTGGAGTCAAAGCAGCAGTCTCTTGAGACATAGCTGCCATTTTCCCCAGGTGAAGGCACTGTAACTGTTAGCACGTGTCCCTTGTTCAAAGTGACAGAGCAGACAAGATCACAATCATGTATACGCCTATAGGTAGGCATATGTTTATGAGTACATGTAAAATCTGCTTACGTGCCTAAATAATGAGAATCCTCATAATTTATTATAGCCAAGCATACACTTAGAAGAGACAGAGAAATAGAGACAATAAGAAATCCATTCAAAGAGGCTGAGAAAATCATAATGGTTCTCATTTAATAATCTAATTGAATAATCTAATAGTACAATTGAAATGCCTTTTTATTGTGATCTCTTCAAATGTTAAATTTATTATACAAGGAACAACTTTCTCAATTGATTGATATATATGACAAGTGATGTAATATTTCACATGGAGAAAGGCTAGCCCCTGAGAAGATCAGATTCTCAAACAGGCTTGTTAATTCTTGGGAATTATTAGTTGTGACAAATAAAACATTTTGGGGACTCCACCTGTTTATTCAAAGTTATTATAAACGTTCTCTTCCTGCTTACGCAGGACCACAGCAAGGATGCCATCTTTTGAAGACATGATGCATAATTGTAGGCAAGCCAGAAAATTTCAGCTTCGGTTTCCAAACTGCTAACTGGATTTGGAATCTGAGAATATAATCAAGTGATACCAAAACTATCTTCAGGAGACGTTAGAAGTGCATTACCTGTTATAGGCAGAGTTTTTAAAATGTGTACATAACAAGTGTGATTAAAAATAAAATTTTACCATTAAAATATCTTAAAGAGTAGATTTTATGGGACATAGGCTACCTTTGCAGCCCAAGGAAATAGCCACTCTCTAATTAAACTATTTTAATGTAAATGCATTCTGATTGTTGAGAAACTGCTTTTTTGTAGGGAAAATAGAAAGATGAAAAAAGCAATTGCATGTATGTGTACATGCATGTATATGTGTAATGCATGATATACATACATGCTTATATGCATATATAATGTGAATCTTCATCTTGATGACAAATAGACAGGCATATAATTAAAAGAGACACAGAAATAGAGACAGTAAGAAATCCATTCAAAGTGGTCAAGAAAATCATAATAGTTATCATTTATTATCCAGTGTTACACACATCATTTCTAACAAGACCACTCTCTTATGGGCTAGAAAGTATTATCCTCCTTCACAAAGTAGAATGAAATAAGCCAAGAATGCTTCTATGGCAACCACAGTTCCAACCCCAGGCTCTGTGCTCTGAGCAAGAGGCCCCTTCTGCCTCCCAGACTGATGTCTTCCTGTTGACTAAGGTGCAGCATTTGTGGTGTGCAACTCAGCAATGTTTTTTTTTTCTCCTTCTGAGAACCAAGTGCTCAGATAAACGGCAAAGCCTGAATCAATGCAGCAAATATCCCACTGGCAAATGGGATATCCCACTTGTGGGATATCCCACAAGTTCTAGCTTGTGGGATATTTGCCAGTAAAAATACAGTGTCAGAAACTGGGTCTCTAGGGCCCTCCAGAAGTCACTTAGTAGTCATGTCCATTCTGGATGATGTTTTTTCCATGTTCATTTTGAACGCTTGTAGCTCACGTATATAGAAAAACTAGGGCTTGGTGGTGGTGGTATGTGCCTTTAAACACATCTAAAATGACAGAGAGAGAGAGAGAGAGAGAGCAGGAAATGAACTTCATGAAGAAAACAAAAAATTGTGCCACACAGAACTACCAATGCCGAAAAAATATTCCTTTCCTTGCTTTTAAGTCTTTACCTTGAAGATCCTGCACCAGTTAAGATAATTTACTCCTGCTTATGAGAATGTTTATAATTTCTCCAAAGGTATACCAGGAAGACTAACAGCTCTACAATGGCAGGGAAAGTTACAATTTTCATACTATCCCTCAGATGTGTTTAAATAGCTCTAATTGCTGTTATTACACTGCAGTGTTTCAGGGACATGACTCCCCACCTTTCTGTGGTACTGTAGGTCAAGTCAAGAGCTGCCCACATGCTGGGCAAGCACTCCACTCCTACCCATGGCCCTGGAAATAAGACACCTGATAAGTATAACAAACCTGCCTTTTAAGGAACCATTCTTTTGATCTATAACTTACCAGTTATATATATGTATATATATATACATATATATACATATATATAACTGTATGTAGTATACATATATGTATATATGTAGTATATATACAGTAGTAGTTACCCGGTTAATAAATAGAGTCTATAGACTTTATTAACAAAAAAAAGCAAAACAAACCAAACAACAGCAGCAACAGCAGAAAACTGCTCTGGAACTCAGCTCTGGATCTGCCTGCTTCTGCCTTCTAAGTACAGGAACTGCAGGACTGGTGCTATTTTCTGTAGATCTTGAATAATTCTCTCTCCCCATGTTCTTTCCATGGCCACAGCTACTTTGCCTTGGACACATGTGTGTGGTGAGAATGACAATCAGATCCTTCAAATAACTGTGGAAGGGACACAAATGAGGGACTGGATCGCAGGACAAACCCATCAAGAGAGAATGCAGAGAGCCAGAGAACTGACCCCTTATTCACCAGCTCCAGGAATTCCCAGGTGGGCCCTGCTTCTGCCTCTCTAACTGCTGGGATTATAGGTTTGCACCAAGCAAACTGGGCTTAGTTTCAATAATTATGTAAATTTTCTTTGTTCTCTTTGTTCCTTTGTTCTCTCTCCTCAGGTTTAAGTAAATTATGTAAGCTTCCTGAAATCTGCAAGGAAAATAAAATTCGCCTAATAAAGGTCATTGTGGGGAGTTGAGACTATTAGATCTGTGAAAATCCAGGTATACAGAGGATCCTCAATAAATAAAAATGAGTTTAGAACACATACATGTTCTCTCATGTTATTTATAGAGGCCATCAAAATCAATTTCTGCACATTCCTGTACATGTTAAAAAGTTCAACAAATAACCTCCTGATAGTTGTGATTAATTCTCTTTTTGGGAATTCAACTCTCTAAAAACAGCACTGTGGTAATAGATGGACCTGTGTTCCAACTAAAGAACTTCCAGAGAAAAAATTAGCCACTAAGTCATGGGCAGTGACTCTAGGGCGGATCACTGTGTTCAGGGTTTCCTCTGTGCTGTCACCTACCACTTTTTCTTTGCGTGTATTTCGAGCAGAAATGTATTCCAGGCTGGCCCAGGGAAAACTAGGCAAAACAGTGGAATGCAAAATTTACCTTTGACAAACTTTTATGTTCTACCTCCTATAAAAAAATTCCCGTATAGATTTTCCCTGATAAATAAATAAACAAACAAATCTTTGCCCTCTGACAAGGGGAAGAATGGGATGTTGTGCATTTTGTGTGTCTGGAATCCCAATTCTGAATAATTCCTTTAAATTGTTATTGCAAATGACTCAAAATATTGAATTCTACATGTCAGGCATATTGAAGGGCTTGAAGATGACTTTAGTATTTCTGTACACATATCCCACCACACACACACACACACACACACATACCACACAAACACATACCACACATACACACACACAATGGTATTAAAGGACTGTCTTGAGTAAACTTCAGTAAGTGCTTTCTGTAGAAACCCCTATTCCTGGCCATTGACCTTTTTTTGAGATTAAAAATAGGCTAATAACAATACTTTTAGTTTCAATGATTACACTGATTTTTCTACTATAGGAAATTTTATCCTGATAGTCGGTGGCATTACACCCAGTAGGCTTTTTATTCAGGGCTTCTGTGCGGTGTAGATTTACAAGGAGGCAAGTTTACACTGATTGCATGTGGCATGCTTGACTTGACTGATATCCATACCTTATTTGGATGTTCTCAGTGAGTCTTGACATGCTTTACTTCCTTCTCTTTCTCATTACATAACTTTATAAGCTGCTCCCCCCCACCCCCACCCCCGGGCTTCCAAATGAGAAAGTGGAAGCAGAGAAATTCCTACAGCTCCCTTCTAAAGCCACACCAGCTAGGAAGCTATGGGAAGAGCACCCGATGCAGGCCTCATGAATACCAACAATGAACTTCTGCTTCAAGCTGTTCCTGCATTAGTTCAGAGGTTCTCATTTGTTGCTTTTAAATCAATGCAGGAATAAGTGATTTATATTTCTGAGAGGTTTTAGTTTAAATCTATGAGATGCAATGACTTGGGGAAATCAAGAACTTTAGCTATTATCATATTGCCTTCTGTTTTGTAGCCTTCCATGGAATCAGTAAATATTTTCTGGGACATATATCCTCATACTGACTTAAGGGGGTTAAAAATGTATAGAACCCCAAAGCATGAGGTGCACACCTATGGTCCCAGCACTCAGAAGGTTGAGGCAAGAGGATGGCTATGAATTCCAGGCCAGCCTGGGTTCCACAGTGAGAGAGATCCTGCCTCACCAAACAGTCAAAAAACCCCTCAAAACAGCTCACATAATAGTATTAGCTAGAAGAAATAAAAATGAAATTGTGTGTGTGTATGTGCTCTTAATTCCAGAGGCAACCAAAGGCAGTAACATGGAAGTCCTTAACCAGTGACAGTTGACAGGTTGTGATACTTTTTTGAGCCTTAATCTTTAAACAACAACACAAGAGAAAGTAAAACATCAAAAACGCAAGAGCACCAAGATAACTGAGACAACGCAGATCAAGTTTCTCCCCTGAGCTCCTCACAATCACTTCTGAGAGAAAATAATGACTGAGTAAACTTCCTTTTGAGAAATGCGGTATTCCATAGAAAACATTTTGCTGCAGCTACTTGGCGTGCAAAGTTCAAAGTATCTCACTTGACAGGGGCTCTTAAGCATCTCAAACAAAGATGCTACTTTTCTTCACAAGGGAGAGGACTTTCAACCAAAGGGGGTCAGATGGCTGCTGTTTCTTTAAATTGGAAGCAAGAATCACACAAATGCTTAGTCAGCCGATCTGGCAACTAAACAGAAATAAAGCCAAAAAGTAGTGGCACTCAGAAGAGAAAGTAAAACACAGACTTTGTACTAATGGACACATGTAACAGGAGACCCCTGGTGAGGCCAAGAAAACTGCTTCCATTCTGAGTTTTCTTACAACTGCACTTCCTGCTGCTCAAGGCATCTACTCTCCTCTCCCTCCCCCTCACCCCATCATCCACCTCTCCCACCCCCACCCCCTTCCCATTACTGGGCTTTCACTGACACACAAAGGTCGGACATTTTGTTTGCCAGCTTCATTCTGTTATGGTGACATTTTGCTTTAACTTTTTGATTCTAAATAAACTATTTAAATCAGTGAAACCCCTTTGTCTTCCTTCCTTTTTAAACAGCATTTTAGGTTCTATTTACTCCAAGCCTGGTTTAGATAATAAAATAAAAAAATCCTATTTATATGCATATGAAGAGAGAGATTTATTCACCTGGTATATAAAAAAAGTGAAGTATACCTAGAATTTTGAGTAGATAATTTTATTGTGGCTTTCGTATATGCAACTTTCAGTCTGACACTGTGAGCTTTAAAAATATCCTGTTATGTCCTCCTCTCTAATAAAACCCTTGATTATACAAATCTGCTAGCCCTGAGATTTCCCCCTACCCCGCAAATTCTAACACGGAACGGTCTCTTTTTCATTTTGTAAAAACAATTTCTTCTTTGATTATTCAGTTCCTCTCCTACCTGGAGTCCAGCGTTTACTTAACTTTAAACTTTAAATGGCTTTGCTAAGTTTAAAAACAAGCAAAAATAAGATCTTAAATGAGCAATATTGACATTTGCAAATCATGCCCAGGGGCCCCTTGAGGACAGCGCAGACTCTAGGGATCTGTCAAAACTCTGCTGGGTTAGAATTTGAGAGCGAGGCAGAAAGTCACCCCGAACAGCTAGCTCTCTGGCCCAGGTGTTGCCGCTCCGCTGCACTCCTCCGATTTCTGGTTTCTCGCCTGCTTCCATTAAGAAAGCAAACACACCGAGAGAACTCTGCGTAGTTTTATTAGTTTCAATGTGCATAAGAGATTAGCTAACTTTATTCAGACAATTCTAAACTCCTACAAAGTAGCTTTTCCTTGGACACAATTCCTCTTGGGGGTTGGGAGTGCGTTCTCTCAGGGGTGGAGCCTGGACCCCGAGCATCCAGAGTTCCCTCCCCCAAGCCCCCCCCAAGCCCCCCTACGCCCCCGTTTTCTGTCTGAGTACTTTGGGAGGTGGTGATTTGATGCGGTGGGACAGCACCGAGTTAAAAATACTTTGTGATAAAGGGTTTTCATTTCCATAAGCAAGGTCAAAATAGAATTCCTAACAAAATCCAAAGTCTAGAAGGGATTGTGTGACATTGTGGGACTTTAAATCTTCTGGCAAGATTTGTATCTTAATCTTCCCACTTTTTCACTTTTTCTCCTGACCATGGTTTTGCTGAAAGAAATTCAGTGCCTGTTCCGGGGCTCACAAAACAAGCAAGTGAGGAGCTGAAAAGAAGGGTGTCTTTTAATCTATTCTTAAAATTAAAAGATGGCATTGATATTTGGTAGCACCAATAATTTTAAGTCCACCTGACTTGCTATTTACACAGCCCATAGCACGAATTACCACTTGGAGGATCCGTTGAGGCCTGAAGTTGGAGGATATTTTGTAGGGGGTTTATTCACAGGTCTTCTTGGACTATATTTTGCTTGCCACCCTTGAAGTGGGTGGAAGTGGGTGAAGTTCCTTGCTGATTAGTAATTTCAAGGGCACATTTTAATTGAGGACAATTGCACAACAAAGAGAAGGCAAAGTCAGCAGCGGAAAATTAGCGGCTAGCCTCTTGAAGGTGTGGCTGCACTTCCGATGTCAAAGCAGAGAGGCCTGGACCCCACGTGGCCTGCGGGGCTGGGTGGGGCGGGGGCGGATTGGGAGTGCTTTGGCTCTGTGTGTTCACCCAACAAAACTGATTTACTCTTGCTCACCATCACCCCTTCAATAACAGCTGAGTTAGTGACATAGAGACGTCCTGTCGTGTCTGCATCTAGAGAAGTCTGAGTCTGCCGGACATCACTCCTTGCTGCGCAGTGCCGCTCCCCTTCCCACAAGGCCTCTAACGCCTGACAGGTAACCTTTATCTGATTAAATCTTACCTGAGGCTGTGTCTCTGGGGAGGGAAGTGGTCAGGAGGAGACTAAAATAGAAGGAGTGCCTTGGTGATAAGTGGATTGAGGGTCCGAATTCTGGGCCTAACTCTTGTTTTGGCCGCCAGCTAAATCACCATTTCTCCAGATTGGGTGGGGGAGGGGAGGAGAGAAAGAGAGAGAGAGAGAGAGAGAGAGAGAGAAGGTAGGGATGGAGTTGTGTGGAGCTGATGGGGGGGGGGTGTCTCAGGACAGGATGCCGGGATAAACCTCTAAGAGGTTAGCTCTGCCAATCAGGGATTCCCAGCTTGCGGACACTCAAATGCCTGAGTATGAATTCAGCAGGTGAGGTGGGGGGGAGAGTGAGCAAACAGAAAGGAGAGCAGGGAGGGTGACAAGGCTGAAATGGGACCCAACATCCAAGAGCCTCAGAGATGGGTGAGGGCAACAGTAGCATCCTTTCCTTAAGTCTGGGGAACTAGCGCTGCTGTTAGTTAAAGCCTGAAGTTGCAGCCCTTGCTAGTGTCTCAAACTTTAAAGCCACCTTCATAGAGGCGAGAGACTCACAACTCAGCTCTTGACTCATTTAACACTCTTAGTTCAACCCCCAAGTGCAATATTATGGTGCTGGAGGCTGTGGCAGTGAAATATGTTGACTAGTGATATTAGATGAAGGCGATGAATGTCCCCAGTCCCTCCCAGTCTGAGGAAATTGTTTAGTATGCCAAGTCTCATTTTTAAAATTGCCTGTTGGGGGTGGGGTGGGGAGCAAGCCAGCACGGTTCTTTAGTTCTAGCATTTGGTAGAGGCAGGTGTGTCTCTGAATTCAAGGCCAGTCCGGGTTTACACAGGGAGTTCCAGGCCAGTCAAGGCCAGTGAGACCCTGTCTCAAAAACAAAACAAAACAAACAAACAAACAAAAACCAAACTCAAACAAAAATAATTGCGTACCTGTAGGCAACTATTTTACATTGTATCAAATATATTAAATGTTTTACAAAGAATATGTCAATATGTCAGCCAGGGTGGGCACACTACACACACACACACACACACACACACACACACACACATACACACCTGCAGTCTTCCAGGGGCTGAGGCAGGAGAACAAGGAAATTCAGTTCAATCTGGACTACAAAGGGAGGCTACCCAAACCAAACTTGGTGGTACGCACCTTTAATTGTAGCACTTAGGAGGCAGAGGCAAGCCTATCTCTGTGGCTGGAGCTCAGTCTGGTCTACATAGAGTTCCAGGTTAGTCAGGGCTACCTAGGGGAAAAGTGGGAAAAACCTAATAATTATTCCAACCTAATAATGATCTCATTCTAGGTTATAGTTGTGCTATACTTTAATACCATATTGTTATAATTTTAGGCAACTTTCATCCTTCCTGTACTGATCTTCATCAGGTATTTTCTTTCCTGAGGGTAGCTAGGTTCAAGTGTAAGCTCTTGTAAAGTTCTTACTCTGTGCTATAAAGTTGGCTGAGGATGCAGGTCAGTTCATAGAGGATTTGGCTAGCTCTCAGGGAGTCCTAGGTTTGGTGCCCAGACTATAAACAAGGTGAGGTGGCCCACTGCTAGTAATCCAAGCTCCCAAGGTGTTCAGATGCTTATTTCACAACCTTCTTTGGCTAAACGCATGAGACCATGCCTAAAAAATTGCTTTTCTTACCTGTAATGTGCTTGTACAAGGTCATATTAGAGATCAGCTATGTGAAAATCTGAAGTCAGGGAAAATTCATACTTAATCCTATAATTTTTATAGTTTGAAGATGAAATAACACTCGTCATTTACACAACCCAGAACACAGAATCACAGAAACAGAAACGGGGATTTCAGTTTGAGGGGCCCACAGTACTGTTGTGTGAAGGAACAAGAGAAACAGACTGAAATCACTGGTCGAAATGCTCAGCGATTCTAGAATTGAGTCGGTATGAATGGCAGAACTGTAAACTGCTAGAGACACGGGCAGTAGTAGGTTATCCTGTTTCTAGGAATGCAATGATGTCTTAAAACTCAAAATATGAAAAGGAAAGGGTGGTTGGTATTGCATGTAGAACACAGCACCAACGGGATCATGTCCATACTGCAACATTGGCTTCAGGCAGCTGCAAGGTCCAGGAGGAGTGGGAGGAGGAGGAGAGAGTTCCTAAACAGCCATGAATACTCAGAAGAGCAGAGTTTAGCAAAGAGTACTGTGTATTGTGTGCCCTGGAAACTGGACCAGGGCCTTGTGCAGACTAATACTGAATTGTATCCCCACTCCCTCCCTCACAGAATTTTATTAAACACATTTTCAGTCAATAAGAATAAAAAAAAATCCAAATGAACACATCTACAGCAACTTTCAAAATGTTAGAATACTGACATCTGACATCTTTGCATCAGTAGTCAATAATTTGTATAAGGAATGTTTCAACATTTGCACCCCAAGGACCTGAGTGATTCCACGTGATTAGCACCACGTATATTCCTAAGTCAATACCACTGTGGTGGAATGTGTAAACATGAGGTGCATAATTATAAAAACACTGGTAATTAACACTTCAAATATTTCTATTATGTGCTTAGTTTCAAATAGAAAGTTGGGAAATTGGCCATATTTTGGAGTACATTCTATGCATGCCATAAGTTCTACTATCAAATATTTGCTGATGATTGGGCCTTTATATAATGAAAGCACTTCTAGATAATTTCACACATTAATTCCTGAAAACTGATTTTTACTTGCGACAGTAAATGCTTTCTTTCAACAAATCTATTCTTATACTTTACAGTCTGCACTACAACTGGTGCACACCTTTACTCCCAGCACTCGGGAGGCAGAGGCAGGTGGAGCTCTGTGAGTTCAACGCCAGCCTGGTCTACAACAGCTAGTTCCAGGACAGACTCCAAAGCTACAGAGAAATCCTGTCTCAAAAAGCCAAAAGTAAATAAATAAAAATAAAAAACTAATATTATAAATGGATATTACAACTCTGTGTTTAATTTTGCTTCAGATATCCCAGGATTGCCTTGAATTATGAATGCCATAAAGGATAAGCTTGAGTCCCGGGTTCCCCTGCCTCTGTTACTGCTTGGTTCCTCAAAGAATGAGTATCATTCCGCTCTCCAGAGCTCGAATTACCCAGCCACCAACTTCTGCCTCTTGGGGATGGAACCCAGAATTTTGTGCATGTTAGGAAAACAACTACAGTCCCTTCTTTAACTCTAAGTGGCCACAGCATTGTGTTTTATATTCCTGAAAATATACAATTATAACATTTACAAATGCTAAAAATTCCTACTTCCTTACCACAGATTCCCAAAGGCACCAAATTATTAATATAAAATAATTATGTAGGGAGAAATATTAACTTGAATCATAAAATAGCTTTTTAATAGAGCATAGCATTAACAACTATATTCAAATCCACACATCATCACAAAGGGCTAGACATTTGTTGTACAGAAAAAAAAAAAACAAAAACCAACACAAACCAAAAACCCACCATTAAGGAAGGCGACTTGGATCCTGAGAATGTTTTGAAATGAACTAAAAAATCAAACCTAGCAATAAGTCACAGAAACCTTTACTAATGCTCTCTACTAACTTTCGGAAAAATGAAATTTCGCGCCCCTTTAGTATCAGCACCTAGGAAGCTGTCTTAGTGAGTTGGAGGCCAGCCTGGTCTACAGGGCAAGTTCCAGGACACCCAGGACTGTACATGTTCTTGAAAAAGAAACCACCGCAACAAAAACCAACCAAACAAAACTTGACAGTTTTCCTTTACTTTTTTTTTTTTCTTTTTCTTTTTGGTCCAGGCCACAGCTCCAGCTACCCTAACCCTCCTGGGTAGTGTTAATAGTTTTACATTTCCATGCCTAAAAGACAGTTGGTACTACAATAAAAAGCTTTCCCCAGGGGGTGGGAGCTTCACTTTTGGGACCCAGTGTGCTCTAAGATTTTTGCATACAGTATCTACAGGTTTTTTTTCTTTCAGTTTTCCAGATCACCCGAGGCGAGGATAAAACGTGTCAGATTCTATTTTTCCAAGCAGTAGGCCTCAAGTAAAACCCATGCTAACTGTGGTCTGGGATGTTTAAAATCTGACTACTTCTGACTCCTCCTGGACGTTCAAGTTCTATACCTGAGGATCCTGAAAGCACTATCCAAAGCTGTTTCAGTGACTTAGGCCAGCCAGTAAAAAGTTTCCAACTCTTTGGACTACAACTGTCCTTACTGGCTGAGGAATCTTGAAGAATTGAGTGTTTGCTTCTCTAGCAGCTACTGCTTATATTTAAAACCAACCCTAACGCCAAGTCTTCTTATTTTAGGAAGTCAATCTTTGTTCACGCTGCCCCTCTCGCAGGCCCTCCTAACCAGAGGGTGAGCCAGCCTGGTGGATGGGGGTGGAACAGGCAAACGCTTAGAAAACAAGACCGTTAGCAGGTATTCCCCCCTCCGCTCTTCCCCCAGGGTGAAATTAAGAGTTCTAGAAAACCACTTTACCTATAGTAAGGAAAGAGAGAGAGAGAGAGAGAGAGAGAGAGAGAGAGAGAGAGAGAGAGAATGAGAATACACGCTCGCACTTTACTAAAGCATAACGGAGATCCGTAGGAGTCATTCATTTCTAAGGCGGCAGGTTTAGAAACCCGAGAATCCTAAACTTTTCGCAGGATTGAGGCGGGCTGTGTGAAGCGGGGTGAGGGGGTGGGGGGGGAACCTTCAGATTCACCAAGCGGTGGAGAGAGCGCTCCACCTCCAAGGAACTCATCCGAAAGTGGAAAAGCGACCCCTCCCCTCCCCCCTCCTGTCTGCACCCGGACGCGTCCTCTTTCCACCTCGTGGGTCAGATGCATGAAAGCACGCGGAACCACAGCCCCTGTGCGCCGGGCTCTGAAGGGCCTTTCTTACCTGGTCCAGCATGCAGCGGCCGCCCTCTGCGCTGGCTCCTCCTTAGCATCAAAACCAGGGCCACGACAGCCCGTGCGCGTCTCGCTGACCCGTGTCGCGAAGATCGCGGGAACCGCACCACGAAAACCTTCACTCGGGGTGGGCGATCTGCGCGTTCCCGAATCCGCACAGTCACCAGGAACCTGTACCCCATGCTCCAGCCGCCGCAATCGCCCAGCGGTCGCCTCCGTGTGACACGAGAGGTGAGAAGCGCCGCCCCTAGCCCATTCTGTTCGGAAGCACCCCGCGACCCACGCGCCGCCCCCGGCCCATCTCCGCCCCCCTTCCCCCCCTCGCCCATCTCCGCCCCCTGGCGCGTCCCCGCGTCCCCTGCGCGCCGTCCCTAGTCGCGCGGGAAAGCTTCCCAGAGGC